TGCATTTAGGACTCTGCTAGGGAAGTCTCGGTCCTGTAGCGCAAGTCTTTTGTTTTGTAATGCTCATGTCAGGACCTTCCAAGCCATAATGAGGAAGTTGTTGTACAGGTTCATCTTGCGATTGAATAACTCTAAGAACAGACTTGTGCAGATGCTGGTTGATCCCCATTTTAGTGCAGTGTGTCACCAGTCATCCATGTGGAGACACTGGTATGCATGCCTTTTATAATCTTTTGTATCGTTTTTATGTCTCTTTTTTTAATGTGGACCTTGAGTCCGATAATAAAGTTGAATTGAAATATTCTAACGTCTGTGTAAAATGGAACTACACCCAAAACACTAAAATGTATAACTGCAAATAAAAAAAACACCTGCAAAGTGCCCCTGGGCCTTTGAATGGTCTCTCAGTCTAATTAATGACATAAAGGGACTTTTGCACCATATTCTAATTTTTCCAGTTTTACTTGTATGATTGAGTGTTTTCTTGGCATTTCTACTACTTATGACATCATATCTATAAATAAAAGTCCTTAAAAGTCACACTAGAACAGGCACAAATCTGGTGGAGGACTTAAATGTACTAACGGGTCAGACCCAGACACAGAAGTGCTGAAGACATACGGTTAGTTCTAGTAACGCCTGAGTGCCCACGACGTCTGAGACTGATGCAGTCAGAGTTACAGCGGGACTAAAGCAATGCTCAGGAGCACTAACTAGTTCCAGTTGGATGATCTAAGAAGACAGAAGATCATGATGAGGAGTTAATGTCTGAGCGGTAAACAGGTCAGTGGTAGCTCCTTAAAGAGACAATCAGTAGTTTTTACCTTAAGTCTCTGGAAATATCCATCAAAACGTTGTTGAAAAATATTGGCTGCTTCTTACTATATGACCATAAAAATCAGGTCTAAAGTACATAAGGTGTGGGTCTAGCCTCGTTGGGGGATGCCATGTTTCCTTCTGGCCAGCTTGGAGTCCTGCGCCTGTCGATGACGTCACACCAGATCATGTTACCTCATTCAAAAATGTTTAGGCAGCAAGAAACACAAATTTAATAAAAAAACTGGCTAAACTCTTTCCAACACATACATAAAACAACATATTTGAAACAGAGATGCAATAATTTGGCCGAGCGGTATTGCCGTAGTATGGTAGCATCATCGGCAGGCGCAAGCTCCCAAGCAGATCCGGAAAATACAGCCTGAAGATTACAATTGGCGTTGCATTCACTTATGAGACCTGAAGACCTGAAGAACCATTGAAGTCTGAGGAGTCACGCCAAGGTTGCATTCTTTCTGCTCCACAGGTAACATTTAATGTCACGTTTGCTCAACTAGCAACAGTCAGGAAGACGTGATGTAAAACCGCCCTGAAATGTATGTATGTACTGCCCTCTAGTGGCTGGAAAATACACACTGCAACTTTAAAGGCACACTTGGCAGTTTTGGCTCTTTTAGCACCCCCTAGTGTCTGTTTAGTGAAAGCAAAAGTGAAACGTATCTCCTCGCTGTGCGTTCGTCTTTCTAACACCTTCATCTAACAGCTGAAATGTCTCCCAGTCTTCATTAGTGTCGACAGGAGTGATGCATCACTAAGTTGAACTAATCAGCTGTGTTCACAATCTAAAACGTGCAGGAAACATGCTGGAAGCCGACTGCAGCTCCAGGTATCTCATTACGCTTTACTAAGTCCAACAGTTGGCGGCACGCCACTCTGAAGTTGCAAGTGCAACATTCTGGCCACAGAGGGCAGTGGGGTTCTGAGTGACATTTCATTAGCCCTGTAATGGATGGTTTTAGCACCTACTAGCTCAGGAAAGTGATTTAAAAATATGAAAACGTTTCATAGTATGGCGTCAAGTCCCGCTGTCACATCTAGAAAGGTACGGCTGCAGACCCGCAGAGCAGATTCACACCTGCAGCAGCAAATCTGCAGCCTGATCATGTCTCTGTGCCGACGCAGATGGAGACGTATGAACCACCCTTCCCTCGTTGCTCACTCGTTGTGATGTGCTTGGATGTAAACATCCGCCCGTTTAGCTCCCAATCAGCTGATGATGGCTTCAACACACCTCCCTGCTGAATTTTAGCACACGCATTCTCTCATTGGTACTGGAAAAGGTGTTGGGACGAAGGAAGACAGTAATTAATTAGATGCTACTGAAAAAAAAATGCTGTTGATTTAAGCATCATTACTCCCATCAACTGGTTGTGACTAGCCAGTCGGAAGTAATCTCCATTTCTCCAAACAGAGGTCAATCTGTCGCAACTGGAGATGGGATCTATCCAGAACCAGGTAAGATCTGACCAACTTACATCAGGATGGATGTTAGAAGGAAAATAGAACAGGATAATAACATGTGGCACAAGCCCTCATCACACCGGTGCTGTAATAACACCAGTGATGGGACTGGACTGGAGAGCCACAGGAAGAGCTGCTGTGGTCTGAGTCCATCTCCTCCAGTAGGGAGACTGGTAAATGACATGACGAATCCATGGTTCCCAGTGCTGCCGTGATGGTGGTGCTAGAACTACGTCCTGCTAAAGCGTCCCCTCAGAAAACAGCATGGAGACAGATTTATCGTTTATCAGAAGCTCAAAGGACAGACTGGAGAAGCGCAGGGGTTCCAAACACAAAGGCTTTAGTCAGGTTCTTCAGGGTTCTCCAGGGTTCCACGTGACCAAACCAATGATTGTTTTTCTTTATTTTTAACACTTGAGACCACTTCCTGTCTGGTTTGGAGTGAAAGAGCCCTTCGAGTTTTCCTCCTTAGTCCAACCTGAAGAGTTAAACTCTCAGGTGAAAGCTGACAGCTTCTGGTTTACCTCCATCTCAGCTTTTATCTCCTTTTAAAGACTCCAGGCGGAGACCAGGTCTACCTCTCCACAACAGTCGAGCTTTCAAAATGCCACTGAGCAGAAATCTGTGAAGGAGCAGATGTTCAGAACTCCAGAGCTGTCAGTAACTCCCAGCTACAGGCTCAGCAGGTGTGTTTAACAAGAACGTCTAATTAAATCTGACTCTTCAGCTCCTGAATGCCTCCAAACGCGGCGGACTCGGATTTCAGGCTAAAGGAGCTAGGAGGAAGGGAAACCTTTCACATGTTTAGTCTAAACACGCTCCAGCGTAGAGCACGGAGGACAGAAATCCACCTCAAAGCTTCGCCCACAGAATTTACAGGCTGATTATGAACGGGTGACAAATGAACACAGGAGCCATTTTAACGCTTTAGCTACTGATTCAGAGACGATTCCTCCTCTCTGTGCTGGCCCGTGTCTAAGGATCAAACACTCCCACCCGCCCAGGGTCGGTGGAGGAACCGTAGAAGTCTCCACACCCAACAGAAACGTCTACAGTTCAGGTCAGAGTCAACCCTAACCTGCCTTCAAGCCTTCAGCGTTCACGCCAACACGTCAAGAGGAAGGAGAGACCTTCCTAAACTTCAGTGTCGTCGTTAACGTTTAAACAAATCTGCATGTGGGGGTTAGTGTTTGTGCTCCCTCTGGAAACAAGACAACATCATCTAAAGCTGTTGTAAAACAAGAAAATATTAAATACATTTGCTTTCCCTAAATACAAGTTAGAAATATAGAATAAATGAAGCAAAACTAGAAACATTTTCTCTGATATTAATAATGAGAAATAATTCAAGACATTTTTCAGGGAAAAGAGAACGCTGAATTATCTGATCAATAACGTTTATCTGGGGGAATAATATTGACTTTTTCCATGTTTAAGGGGCATTTATGGCATTTTCCATCATTCCAGCACACTGGGTCCGGCACCTTTCACCTGTCTGGCTATTAAACTGATCACAGGTCAGATCTTTGCGCTTCATGTTAACTCGCTCCCAAAGTCTCTGTAGGAAATGAATCCTGGGTGTGATGATGATAATAATAATAATAATAATAATAATAATAATAATAATAATAATAATAATAATAAACTCACCGTTGAAGTTCCAGAGAGGCTGAAAGCCTCCAACTTCACTGCTCTCATTACTCATGTTTTCATGGCAAAACGCGTGAAAGGCGAGAAGTTTGTCCACCGACTGTGCCGGTTCCGCTCCGGTTCGGTTCGGTCCTCCAATGTCTAAATCTTCTACAGAGTTAGTTTGCCTCTCGGTGACTGTGTGGCGAGCCTGTGTTCGTGTGGTTCACAGGTCTAATCAGAGCTGGTACCGGTGCGGAGCGCGTTTGGACCGAACCGGAGATGAGCGCTCGTGGAGCCGCTCCATACCGAACAGGCGCTCCGGAGGATCGGCGCTCCGCTCCTCTGAAGGAGCAGAGAGATATTCATGATGTCATTTTTGTTCAGCCAATCCTCCATGAGTCACTCCTCAGGTTGTAATTACTAGCAGCCAGCCTCACCTGGTTCTGGTCCACCGTGGACACTAACACCTGGAGCCACCATCCTCTGGGCTCCAGAACACAGGAGGTCCTCCTGGAACATCTGAAGTCAACTTCCTGCTGTTAGAGGTCAGCAGAAGACAGGTCTGGTTTCTAAAGTCACCTAAACTCAGCAAACTAACGTGGGAAAAGATCTGTTTGGTGGATTGGTTTGATTGTTTATCTGAAATAAATCTCATCAGTCACCAGTTTTACAAGACTGCAGTCACCTGAGATGTAATGTAATATAATATAATATAATATAATGTAAAATAATATAATATAACGTAATATAATATAATATAATGTAATATAATATAATATAATATTATATTATATTATATTATATTATATTCTTATATTATATTATGATGAGAATGTGTGGAAAATACTTTAAAATGTCTAAATACACCTGAACCTCACAAAAAGTAAAAACAATGAAAAAATAATCTAACTATATGAGGAAAATTTCAATTGCTTTCAATAAAGGCCAAATGTCTGAAAAACAACTAAAATCTAATTTACGAATGGAGTTTATAATGTTGAGAAAGCAAAATGAACTTCTGAATCCAACTCAGAGAGACTTTTTAGAAGAAGACAATAGGTTGATACTAATCTTGACATGATGTGGTCCTAAAGCTCACGGTTGGGGCACAGATAGAAGGAAGCATGGAAAAACTACCATCAGTTTTGGTATGTGCAGTAGTCCTTGTTTAAATTGATTATTTATGTGGTCTTCTGCAGTAGCTCAGGAGGTAAAGCAGGTTCCCCAGCAACTGTAACTGCTGTAGGATCGATCCGGGCTCCAGCAGTGGGCAAGACACTTAACCTGGCCCGCTGCTGGTGGACTGATGGCACCTGCGCTCAGACGCCTCGCCTCTGTCGGTGCACCCCAGGGCGGCTGTGGCTACCTCGTAGCTCATCACCACCAGTGGATGGATGAATGATGCACAGTGGAGTCCTCTGAAAGGCACTACACACACACACACACACACACACACACACACACACACACACACACACACACACACACACACACACACACACACTGTCTGTAGAGGGCATCTTGACGTAGCCCAGAATGATTCTGGGTCCACACAAGACTGGGACTTTAGCCGTTGGTGTGATCAGTTTTAATTCCAGGTAGCAGCTGCTGTGAGTCCCCATTCAGACCAATCTTTAATGGAGATAAATACAAGATTAGCTGCAGCAGGTAAACCCACCTCCTCCTTGGCCAGCTTGTAGTCCAGGTGAGCAGCAACCATCCCTCTACATGAGCAGATCAGCCTCTCATGCCAGTAGAAAAAGCTTCTGCCACATTCAACTCTAAAACAATCTGACCAGCAAGGCCTCAGCAAAGCAAACTTCAAAAATCACTTTCATTCTTGCATCAAAGTGTCTAACTGTGCACTCACAATTGACACAATTAATTTAAAATGGGACTTACCTGATGTTGGGGGTGAGTTAAAAGGCTTCTGATTGCATTATTCACAGGTACGGTGCAGCCAATCACCTGATTAATCTCCTGCAGGGTGAAACGGGCTGAGCAGAGCACTGATAAGAATAACAACCTTCTACATCACTTTCTGTTTTGAGTAAATAGAACAAAGAAAAGCTCTCAATGTGTGTTTAGGTTATTAGACCTGATACTGTGACCTGCGTTGTTAGCTGATGAGCAGGTCAGTGGCTCCGGGGCGTGTTGATACATGCCCTTCAGGTCTATCGGCTACGATCTGTACTGCTCCATGAACAAGCCTCTAGTCCATCACGGGGACACAGAGACAAACCACCAGTCAATCTTTACTGATGAAGCACCTCACAGGCATGAAGCGTGCCACCAAAGTGCTGTACAGATAAACCCGATAAAAGCAGCAAAGTCAAAGTTACAGAGTGAGATGGACTAACATATCACTACTAACCCACAGAGTGAAAAGCCAAATCATAAAATAACTTCTTCAGCCTCATTTTGAAAACAGCCACGGATGAACCTAACAGTTAAAAGAAGTATGTTCTGTAGTTGTGGTCCAGCTAGCGAGAACGCCCTGTCCCTTCTCGTCTTCAGCCGAGCTCTGGGAGCCAAAAGCAGCAACTGGTTCTTAGAGCAGGGCGCCGGAGCACATCGCTGCAACATTTCTGTCAAAAAGGCCAGAGCCAACCCATCCAGCGCCTTAAACACCACTACAAAGTTTTCAACTAATTCTAATATTGACAGGTAGCCAATGCAGAGCAGCCAAAATAAGTGTCACATGTTCATAATTTCTCTTGCTTTCCAAGAATCTACAGTACACTGGCTTAGTTACAGTAGTCTAGACGCGAGGTGATGAAGGCATGAACAACAGTCTCAAGATCCCGTCTAGTCACATAGAATAGAATAGAAAGAAAGAAAGAAAGAAAGAAAAGAAAAGAATAGAAAAGAAAAGAAAAGAAAAGAAAGAACAAAAGAATAGAATAGAAAAGAAAGAAAGAAAGAAAGAAAGAAAGAAAGAAAGAAAGAAAGAAAGAAAAGAAAAGAAAAGGAAAGAATAGAATAGGAAAGAAAGAAAGAAAGAAAGAAAGAAAATAATAGAATTGAATAGAATAGGAAATAGAAGAATAGAATAGAAAAGAAAGAACGAAAGAAAGAAAGAAAGAAAGAAAGAAAGACAGAAAGAAAGAAAGAAAGAAAGAAAGAAAGAAAGAAAAGAATAAAAAAGAAAGAAAACAAAATAATAGAATTGAATTGAATAGAAAAGAAAGAAAGAAACAAAGGAAAAGAAAAGAAAAGAATAGAATAGAAAAGAAAGAAAGAAAGAAAGAAAGAAAGAAAGAAAGAAAGAAAGAAAAGAAAAGAAAAGAAAAGAAAAGAGAAGAAAAGAAAAGAAAAGAGAAGAAAAGAATAGAAAAGAAAAGAAAGAATAGAATATAATAGAAAAGAAAGAAAGAAAGAAAGAAAGAAAGAAAGAAAGAAAGAAAGAAAGAAAGAAAGAAAAGAAAAGAAAGAATAGAATAGAATAGAATGGAATAGAATAGAATGGAATAGAATGGAATAGAATAGAATAGAGTAGAGTAGAGTAGAGTAGAGTAGAATAGAATAGAATAAAATAGAAAAGAAAATAAATAAAGAAAGAAAGAAAGAAAGAAAGAAAGAAAGAAAGAAAGAAAAGAATAGAATATGAAATAGAAGATTAGAATAGAATAGAATAAAATAGAAAGAAAGAAAGAAAGAAAGAAAAGAATAGAAAAGAAAGAAAAGAAAAGAAAAGAAAAGAAAAGGAAAGAAAAGAATAGAATAGAAAAGAAAAGAAAAGAAAAGAAAGAATAGAATAGAACAGAATAGAATAGAAAGGAATACAATAGAAAAGAAAAGAAAGAAAGACAAGATTAGAATAGAATAGCCTTTAATGTCGTTGTACATGGTACAGTGAAATTGAAATGCCACTTCCTTTAGTGCAAAATATAAATTTGTGATGCACCGATATGAAATGTTTGGGCCGATACCGATATCCGATATTAAGATCACTGTTATGGCCGATAACCGATATTTGCCAACACAGATATACTGACATTAAGGCTTCTAAAATCATCAGCATATTTTGTATAGAATGGAAATTATTAAAGCTGAATTTATGTTATTTTGTACACACAAAATATACATTTACGGTTTTGAGATGATTTCATTCACTGTTCACATGACTAAACAATTACACATCAGAGATCACCCAGAAACCTCATGGAGTGTACCCTCTCCACACAGTCCCCGTGAATGTAAAGTGGGGCCGGGTGAGCTCTGCCCTTCCTGAAGTCCAAGATGAGTTCTTTAGTTTTGTGGTGTTCAGTTGGAGGTTGTTTACTGAACACCACGCGGTCAGTCTGTTGACCTCATCTCTGCAGTCCGACTCGTCCCCTCTTGAGATGAGTCCAACCACGGTGGTGTCGTCCTTTATGATGGTGTTTGAGAGATGGGTCGGGGAGCAGTCGGACGTAAACAGGAGGGAACTCAGAACACATCCTTGTGGAGAGTCTGTGCTGAGTGTGATGGTGGGGGCCCAGTCTGACAGACTGGGGTCTATTTGTCAGGAAGTCCTTAATCCACAGGCAAATAGGGGTGGAGAGTCCCAGGTGAGACAGTTTCTGGACCAGAATCTCTGGGATGAAGTAATTTAACGCTGAGCTGAAGTCCAGGAAGAACATTCTCACATAGCTTCCTTGGTGCTCCAGATGACTCAGCGCAGTATGGAGTGCTATGGAGATAGTTGTTGTTTAAACCGTGGCTTCACTTTAGCCAATTGTCTCGTACGATAAAAGGAAGAAGATACCACAGCACCAACGTGAGCATCAAAGCAGAAAGCATTGTCCATCATGCCAAGATTGATTGCAGAGGCACTCAGGTAAAAATTTAAATTGCCACAGTCCACCTTGGAAGAATCAAGGTCACTCAGGAACTGACATCCAGGGACAATTTACAGTCTCCAGTAACTCTAACATGCACGTTTTAGGTGTGTGTGGAAGCCAGAGTGCACAGAGAAAACCCAAGCATGCATAACGCCACACAGAACGACCGCTGACAGGATTCAAACCTGTGAGATAACGCTGCTGCTAACTGCACCACCATGCTGCCCCAGAAGAGAACCAAGCATGATGCCAGTGGTTCATCGTGGTCACTATGGTAACCACACACCGTGTCTCAGGGTCCATAAACCAGCTGAGCATGAAACAGGAACTCAGATAAAGTGCGAGCAGTAGAAGGCCTGATGGACACGCGTCCTGCAGCGTTCCATGTATGAAATACAACAAATGAAACATGTTTCCAGTTTAGAAGAAAATCAAACCGAAGTCTATGGAAGCCGGCGCGTGGACTCTGCTCTCTGAGGACATTTGAGCTAAAACCATCAGTCCTAGAGAGACGCTGAAGGTAGAAGAAGAATCAGATACTTATGGTTTCAAATATAAATTGTACAAAACGTTCTGGAGGTCAGAAGAGTTCATTTGTGAACGATTCAAAAGATTCAACTTTCGGTAAAACCTCTTCAG